AGTTTTAGATATTATTTACATAGTTAACTATTTAGAAAAAAACAATGTTATTCTAGGTCATCTTGTCAATCATCTTTAAACATCGAAGGGGGGGAAGAGGAGCGAATTATAAATACATACATCTAATACCTATTTCCCTAATGCATATCGTATTGTATTGATGAACATCAATAATGTTCATATAAACACTGTAGTAGTAGTAGTAGTAGTAGTAGTAGTAGTAGTAGTAGTAGTAGTAGTAGTAGTAGTAATAGTAGTAGTGGTAGTACATTTACGTCTTTCAAAGAAAAAAGAAATCACATGTGCCCTGGATCGTGATCTTTATTTAATAAACATAATAATAATAACCCTACACTGTTTTCTCAAGGCCCCTACGAATAATATAAAAATCCATGACATTTTCAATGTTTGAAATTTCCACACAAAAAAAATACAAAAATCTTTTTTGTTTCTTTTATATTTACTATGTACTAAAACAAAATACATATTTATTTGTATTACATAATGTATATGCTTTGTAATTGTTCATTTATCCATCTATCTATCTACCTATCTATCTCTATGTAATCTTGCGATTAGAATAAACATTCAATATGTCAACAACAACAATAACAACGAAAAGGTTTATAATTCATGTGATATAAATGAAGAAAGGAAGTATCAATGTACTACTAAATTATAAATATCAAAATTAGAAATAAAAATATTTAATGCAAAGATGGATAATGGCTAGAAGTGAAATCCAGGACGCTCGTTTCGTTTTAATAGGACCTAATATGTCCACTTCTAGTCACTATTCATCTTTGCATTATAATGCTTGTGAATTAAGGCTATATCGAAGCTGTACACACAATATGCACATATGCCAATAAGAGACTGATCAATTACAGTCCTAAATAACAATCGGATGATGCAAGTAAACAACACAAAGTGAATTTAAACTTTACCCTGTTACACAATCAATTGGCTATCAGGACCCAGTTGCTAAGTAGGTAACATGATGGCGTTTGAAGCGAACGGTACTGAGTTCGAGCCACAGAGTGGACATCAACTCTGAGGTGCATGTACGTCCAACTAACAAGTTCCAAATAGGACGAAATGCGCGTCTTGGACTCCGCTACTAGCGACTATCCATCTTTGCTTATAATGTTTATGATCTAAGACAATATCGAGGCATCGCGCAGAGGATGCAGATATGTCAATAACAAACTGATCAATTGCAGTCCTAAATAACAATGGGAAGATTCAAGTAAACAATACCAAGTGAATATAAAACATTTAATTTTATTAAAGTTTGTTTATATTAGCTAAGGACTAATTTGTACCAATGTTGTTAACTTTCAATCTTATCGAGTCATCTAGGCTAATGGCCATATTGCAGCTTGATCGATAGTATTGGATTTACACCAAGAAGGACTTGACACATATGATATCGATCATTATTTAGTGAATAATCAATTGTGGAAACATCTCTTTTATTTATACATAAGATGAAGGTTATTGACGAATGCCAGCTAATAAGAAATTTACATCAATTAGTCTCTCTTAAAGATTAAACCCAATTACTTTATATCTTACAATAATAATAATCATATAATACTGGACAATATATACAACAACTCGCATTATAGTCCAGTTATATTTATATGGATTACTTGAAGTAATACTATAACACCGTTGGATATCGGCTCATTGATCTACAGGTTAAACGTTTGTACGCAAAAACAAAAGTACTGAGTTTGAGTGCAAAATCGTGTATACGTACTGCTAAGAAGTTCCATACTAGGACAAAACGGTTGTCTAGTGCTTCCAGGTTTCTTTTAGCGGGCAATCGCTACATATAAGTGTTATTTTTCTCAAGAGTTTGATTTGAATCATTTGAAGCCATCTTTGTATTTTTTTATAAAATAGACATTGTAGCGCATCCTAAATTGCTTACTTACTTACGTCTGTTACTCCCAATGGAGCATAGGCCGCCCACCAGCATTCTCCATCCCACTCTGTTCTGGGCCTTCCTTTCCAGTTCTATCCAACTATTGTTCATTCTTCTCATATCTGTCTCTATTTCTCGGCGTAATGTGTTCTTTGTCCTTCCTCTTCTCTTTTGGACTTGAGGATCCATGTGAGGTCTAGATATGTGACGCAGTTCGGTGCTTTCCTCAATGTGTGTCCTATCCACTTCCAGAGTTTCTTCCTAATTTCTTCCTCCGCTGGGATCTGGTTTGTCCTCTCCCACAGTAGGTTGTTGCTGATAGTGTCTGGCCAACGGATCAGAAGTATTTTGCGTAGAAAACTGTTAATAAACACTTGTATCTTCTGGATGATCGCTTTCGTAGTTCTTTGATTTTCTGCCCCATACAGTAGAACTATTTTGACAGTTGTATTGAAAATTCTGAACTCGGTGTTGGTTAACAGAAAGTTGTTTTGAGTTCCAGATGTTGTTCAATTGTAGATATACCTCTCTCGTTTTGACAATTCGTGACTGCATATCTGCATCAGATTCACCGTGTTCATCAATGATGCTGCCCATATATGTAAAGGTTTTTACATGTTCCAAATCTTCTCCGTCAATTGTGATTGGATCGGTGCATGCATCCTAAATTATTGAATGAAATCAATAATCATATTAAAAGCCAAACCTTGAAATGAAATCCTCAGTGAAAATTATGCTACTATGTGTTATACTTACTTATTAAATGAACGACAAAATGCTAGATATTACACACATAATCAGTACCTCAAGATAAATGGGTCACAAATTTACATACATATACCCTATCTTTTAATCAACTGTATTTGTCTACTTCTAACTATTAAAGATTTTGTTAAACCTGAAGATTACTGAATTCAGAGATATTTCGTGAAGCTAATATAAAGTACAAGTAACACTTTGTACGAGGTATCATTAAATCGAGAAACTAAATTCTTTAGTGAAGTAATAGGGGTTTGAACGTAGTATCTTAGAATACTAGGAAAATATATATTACGTCAAGTCTTTTGTTTCTACAAATGATATACTTTAAATTGTAGTGACAGAATATCTTCAGTTTGATAGTAATATGCACAGTTTAGAATAATCAATAAACTTCATATCTTCATACTTTTCTCATATCTGACATAGCTGCATTTTATTGATCACTGCTCTACTCTACGACACAAGGAATATTTTTCTAAGTAACACAATAGTCAGAATATTTTAATGATCGGTTTAATAGGTTTGCTAAGATCGCTCACTTGATGAACTTGAGGTTTCAATATCAGGCGTTTGAATACATTCGTGGAGTGCGCACTACTGATGTGTTCTATACAATGACGTAAAAGATGAACAAATTTCTTTAGTTTTCGATGATCCCATAGCTACAATCAGCTTGTGTTATATGCGATAAGTTTTACAATTTCAACGAATATATTATATCAACGAATGTTCTACAAAAAATGTATATCAATTCATCATACACATTACTAATCGCATATTCTTATTTCTACATAATGTTGATTGTTTTATCTAACTACATGTCGATATTAAATAGCCAATATAACTTACTATATATATGCTAGGTTAAACAATAAGTTAGTGACAAATCAAACAAATAGAAATATTATGTGCAAAGATGGATAATAGCTAGCAATGTAATCCAGGAGGCGTGTTCCTTCCTATTTGAAACTCGTACACTGGATGTACTTACACCTCAGGGTTGATGTTCACTCTGTGGCTTAATCTCACTATTGTTCGTTTAAAACGTCATCACGTTATCCACTTAGCTACTGAATCCCAGGGTGAATATCAACTCTGAAATGCAAGTACATCCAACTAACGAGTTCCAAATAATATGAAACGCGCACATTGGTTATAACTGAAATATTGAATAGCGGGAAAAATGATTGTAACATTACATGTGATGTTACTAACATGAGTTTGTTTCTCTTATTGCTAGGCATCAATTAGAACTCCGCCTGGAGTCCCTCTTGGGGCTCCTGCTGGTCCCAAGCCCGGATAAAGAAGGAGAGTTGGGCATGGGGTTAGCGACCCCATCCCGTAGAAAACTAACTCGCTAAAAAAACGCTAACCATAAAAGATTATTTGAACCTTTTAAACTCTGCCCTGGGAGTCAGATGGTCTTCTTCTTCTTCTTCTTCTTCTTCAGGCAGCAAAAAGTAAATGTACTGGAAGGAAAGGAAAAAGCCCTACCTTCAGAACGATGGATAAGACTATTTTATAATAAATTTCCCGTTTTTTGTACCCGAATTATTATCTTTTAATTTTTCAAAATATCTCTCTTTTTTGTTGCTAATACATCACATTCTTACTCCAGATGCATTTACTAATTTTGACTGTTGTGTTATTGTTTCAGATCATTACCACTTCCAAATAAACGTCAATAATACATGTTACATAACAATAATTTGAACTTTTTAAACACTTGGGGTCATGAGTCAATTGAAGCTAGACCACCATGGAAAACCTGGAAGCACTGAACGGCCGTTTCGTCCTATTGCGAGACTCCTCAGCAGTGCACATCCACGAACCCGCACCCCGCGATATTCGAACCCAGGACCTATCAGTGTCAAGCTAGGCGCTTAACCAACTAGACACTGAGCCGGCCGGCATCTAACGGTGTTAATGTCTAACTTCAACTAATCCACGAAATTGAGAGACACATCCACCATTGTCATCAGTGAGTTACTATCTCACAACTGACTCGATTGAACTGCACTGGTCACTGCTTCTCACTAGAACTCCAGGATATATATCTTGAAGCCAGTCACTAGTGAGCATGTGTTGATTAGTATCAGAATCAACTGTTTAAGTTACTACAATCTCCAAAAAACTCCTTTTGATAATAACTTGAACATTTTTTAAAATTTTTTGTAAATGATATAGAATTTGTATTCAAATTTAACTTTAAATGTTTATTAAAATGAAATAAACATAAAAAGTATTTGTTTAAGTAATAAATAAATAATTAAATAAATAAATTACTTTTATAGTAACTAAGGCAACTAAAAATAAGTTGAAAATATACAATATTATGCTGATATTAAAAAAAAAATCAATAGTGTAAACGAGTTCAATTCAATGAAAAATCAATCTAGAATAAACAACAAAAACAACAACAACAACAAAAATATCGAATAGAGATAGTGAATTGGCCATTGAAGTTTCTAGTTTCAAAGATAAATAAAAAGAGGGGAAAAAAGAAAGAGGAAAAAACAAAAAAGAAAAAAAAACAAAAAAAAGATTCTATTCAATCAAAATTACGATATCGTCTAGGTACAGCATTATAAAAACAAAAACGATATTCCGGGAAACATCGACAACGATGATAATCTTTTATTTCATTACTTCCTGATGGTATAAAACTCATATAATACCATTCAGTACAACCAAATTTTTGACATAATTTAAAACATAATTTTGCTGTTGGTACGACACATAAAAAATTTCCAGTAGCTATTTATTGAAAAGAAAATATATAAAAGAAAAGTAAACTAATTAAAAATCTATTCTTTATTGATTAATTGTATCAAGAAAAAAAGATATATTGATCAGTTTATGATCTACAACTCATACTAATGATTATCTTCGAGAGGTAGTTCTCGGAGTATTCATGAGAAGTTGTGACCAGTGGAGTTCAAATGTGTTGAATATCAGACAGTTAACCACCGAAGACGATGGGAAATAATCACTCAATGTTGTAGATTGATCGATGTTAGACAAGCCCCTAAATGCCCTGGTACGGCCGAGTGTAGGGAGAGTCCACTCTCCCTCTCGAAATGCTCTCACATGGCCTCGCGTATATAGCCTCTGCCAGAGAAGTCCTACTCACTACCTTCTCGAACCACGGGTGTTGTTTACGAAAATGAGAGGACGGAAAGCGAATGTCCGGCGCTCTAACCGGATTCCAAACCAATGGTGCACATGGGCTCCAGTATCCTGTGGGAACAAATGGCGTATGAACCAATCGTTGGTCACCGGCTTCCACAGGACTGTGTCTCCTCACGATGCTCCACTGCCTTGTGGATCAGACCTTCGGGTCGAAGGCTCAGTGAGTGGCCCTCTAAGAAAACCACCTGCTTCGGTTTGGGCACCCGGGCAGTATCACAGCCCTCACACATGTCGAATGAGATTTGTGTGGCGCATATATATTTGGTGCCTCTTTGTACCAATAGCTATGTGTTAAAATAAATAAATAAAAATTATGTTATACATTAACACTGTTGGACACTAGGTTAAGAGTCTAGAGGTTAGATGTTCACATGTGGAACTGAAGTGCCTGGGTTCTAGTTCCGTAGGCGGGATCGTGGATGAATACGATTGATGAGTCACATACTAGGATGAGAAGACAGTTTAATGCCTTGGGGTTTTCGATAGTAGTCTAATATTGATCTATTTTTTAAATTTCATCAATTAGAATGGTTTCTTTCTTTTTGTTTGTCAATGCTTTATATGAATTAATCTTACTGTTCCTTCATAAATTGATTTGTTTTATTGCAAATTTGCTATAAGTTTATGTTTAATTAACTTCATTAATTTTCATGTAAATATATTAAAATCCATTATTTAAAAACTAACATCTCAATAAAGTTTGCCACTAACAATCAAAGTTAATAAATCCGGCCACAAATCATAGAGATATCACATAACAAACGAACATATGTATGCAAAGACAGATTGTAGTTGGCGGTGGAATCCAGGACACGCGTTTCGTCCTATTTGGGACCCGTCAGCTGGATCTACCTGCATCCTAGAGTTGATGCACATATGCCAATAAGAGACTGATCAATTACAGTCCTAAATAACAATGGGAAAATACAAGTGAATTTAAACTTCACCCCGTTGCACAAACAAGTGGCTATCAGGACTCAGTAGCTAAGTAGATGACGTGATGACGTTTGAAGCGAACGGTATTAAGTTCGAGCCCCTGAGTGAACCTCGACTGTGGGATGCAGGTAAATGCAGTTGACGAGCCACAACTAGGATGAAACGCGCGTCAAACTGGATTCCACTGCTGGTCACTATTCACCTTCGCATATAATGCTTGTGAATTAAGGCTATATCGAGGCAATACAAAAAGTATGCACATATGTCAATAAAAGACTGATCAATTGCAGTCCTAAATAACAATGGGAAAATTCAAGCAAAACAACACCAAGTGAATTTGAACATGTATATCGTTCACTTATAATCAACAAATTGTAAGAGATCATTTTGTGTTCACTAGTTACTGAATTCCAGAAGTCAAGACTAATGTTATTTAGTCTTGCCGAATATGAGAATAGTATAACCGATAGTTACAGATGATAATCGCTCAATATAATAAGTAATGACATAACACGACTGAATGTCAACCAATGAGTTCAAATGCAGTATTTAAATTAGTTTTAAGTCTTTATCTTTTTATTTAGTTGAAAGAGTGAGTGTCCATTTAATAAGGAGTTCTTTGAATAGGCAAAACATCTATGCCATATTTAATAATTGCCTATTCACCTATCAATCAAGATTATTTCTTATATGTAAGATTTTTTCAAAATAGCAACATATAAGAAGTTAGAAATTTAGTGATCTGGATTTCTATTGAAATTATATCTTTTCTTCATGGAATCATATCTGGCTAGCTTACATACTTATTTACTCCTGTTACCTCTCACACAGGAGCATAGGCCACACACCGGCATCCTTCATCCGACTCTGTCCTGCGCTATCCTTTTCAGTTTTTCCCAGTTGTTATTCATCCTTTTCATATGTGCTTTCAATTCCCGATGTCATGTATTCTTCGGCCTTCCTCTTTTCCGTTTTCCTTCATCAGTTCCTCAAAGTATTCCACCCATCCGTTCATTTGTCCCTGAATTTCAGTGATTGGCTCGCCTTCTTTGTCCTTGACCAGTCTCTTTGGTTTACAATATTTCCCTGCCAGTTTCTTCGTCGTGTCATATGGTTGTTTCATGTTTCCTTCTTTTGCAGTTTTTTCCACTGTCGTTGCTAGCTCTTTCACGTATTTCTGCTTGCCGGCTCTAATGCTCTTCATTTGTTTGCTTGCTTCGGTGTATTCAGCTTGTGCCTTGAGTTTCTCTGTTCTCGAATTCGTTGAGTTTGTCAGTATATCGAAGGAAGACAGTATTAAACATTTGTAATGCTGTTTCTTCAGGTGTCCAACGCTTCTTTAGCTGAAGTTTCATCTTGAACACAACCAGGTGGTGATCTGAAGCTATAATGTCTTCATACTCAATGTTGTCCATCCCGATTTTGGTGTTTAGTTCTCTCACCAGGATTATCAGACCCTTTACTGGGCACCTTGCTTCGGTCGATTGCAGCCTCTCATAAAAGTGATCGTTATTGTCGTCGTTGCTATCATTAGTGAGTGCACAAAACTGGATAACATACATTGTGTTTCCCACTTTCTTTGTTTTAAATGATGCTTTGATGATCCTGAATTCATGATATTCCCATCCTATAAGTGCATTACATGCTTATTTGGACAGCACCAAAGCAATTTCCTGAGTGTGTGGAGCGATCTTCCCCTCGTGACTAGAGTACATTGGCATCTCTCCCGTATCTAGCGTTTGCTGTGCAGATTAGGTTCAATGGGTTTTGCTGTTTCCGAGTATTGCCAAGTTGCATCTCCTCATTTCCGTTGCTACTTGACTGGACCGTCCAGGCTCCCACATTCTTCAGACGTTCCATGTGCCTATAAAAATTGTTACTCTGATTGTTAGAAGGGGCATCGGCCTCGCGACTTCCGAAGAATCTTGACTTTCTTCATGACGCGTCATAATTCTTCCTTCAACTCCCAGGGCAGAGTTCAAATAATTTAATTTATTTAGTCTGGTTAGCGCTTTTTAACAAGATTTTTTTCTACGGGATCGGGTTTCCGACTCCATACCCAACCCTCCTCCTTTACTCGGGCTTGGGACCGGCAGTAGCCCTAGAATAGTTACAGGCGGAGTTACATCTAGCTTGGGATTAATAATAAAAATCGAAAGCATAGGTGAGCGACAAAAATATTTTGATGATAACTGTCAAAGATATTTTATCAAAAGAAAAACCTAATTCACACTCATAAACTAAGTAATAAAGGCTACAGATATCTAGAATTCTAGACATTGATAGGTCATTTTGTAGTAAATAATTCAGAAAATTGAATTCGGGAGCCGACCTAAGCTAGAGCACTATTGAAAACCTGAAAGCACTGGACGACCGTTTCATCCTAGTTTGGGACTAGTCAGCAGTACGCACTCACGGTTCCGCACTCGGATCCAGGACCTCCATTTTTACACGCAAACGTCTAACCTGTAGATCAGTGAGCCAATATCTAACGGTGTTAATGTCTAACTTCAATCGATTGATAATCTTGCGCAACCCTTTATTCATTGTACCTTATCATGGTCCATCAGTTGAAAATGTATTTGTTAGGTATTCAATTTCGTTTGATTTGGCCTGCAGGAATCACCTATTTACGAACGATACAGATCATTGTTAAACGAATGGAATCTACTGTAAGTAAAATAAGATCATAACTGACACCTATAACGTTTCAATAATAACCCTCAAAAATGGTATCATTAAAGAAGTCAGTCCTATAACAAAAATAAAAGGAAATGGATTCATTCTATATACATAATAACTAAACAAGACTTTGAAATATAGAAAAACTACCGAATCAAAAGTAATGACGACCATTCAATAATACAAATTTTAAAAAACTTTAATCACAGTCACAGTTACAAGAAAGAACTAAAGTTTATTAGCATAGCTAGATAAGTTGAGATTCTCTTAATAGTACTACATTGATGTCACTTACAATCTGAACTACTGTAGAAAACCTGGAAGCACTAGACGGTCAACTTGTCCTATTATGGGACTCCTAAGCAGTACGCATCCACAACCCCACCCCACGAAGTTCGAACTCAGGGTATATCAGTCCTGCGTGCGGATGCTTAACCTCTAGACCACTGGGCCTGCATTCAATGGTGTTAATGCCTAACTTCAACTAAACATCTGTGCAAATTTAAAATGATAGTTGAGTAACAAAAAAATGCTCAAATGATCTACGGAATTAATTCATATGAAGTGATGTTGTCGATTAAGTAGGAAGCAAGTAAATTAACGTGATCAGTTTTATTTCCAAACATTTTTCGTTATCTTACATAGGCTATAGGAATATACATCAGTAAACTTAACGAGACTGATAGGTCCCGGGTTCGAATCCAGCGAGGCAGGGTCGTAGATGCGCACTTCTGAGGAGTCCCACAAGGGGACGGAACGGCCATCCAGTGCCTCTAGGCTTTCCATGGTGGTCTATATACGGGAAAAGTGTGCACATCTATTCATTAAACTTAGCCGTCGACTATTACATTTGTCAGAGTTTTTTTGAATTCTCCAAACCATATGATTTCGTAAAATTTCAATTTCTAATTTTAATTATACGTAATATGTTTAATAATCTGATTACGATGGTCATTTGACCCTAATCAGGTACTCTGCGCCTACCAACATGGCTCAGACCAAAAGTTAATGACTTCAAGGACTGATGCCACGTTTTAGTTTAGCCACCCTTAACATTCTTCCAACCATCTCCAACACCAGTCAACTTTGTCCATCATGGTAATCGGTGTTCAGGCATACGTAACAAATGGCCAAACTATCTCAGTCGATGAAGATTCACAACTATTAATCTTACAGATGATTCAAAATATTTACATTTATATCCCATTTCAATTGCTAATTCTACCTTCATTTAACTAGTTATGATAATTTATCGGTTATGAAATCTTACCAAGTTTTCATTTTAGTTTTATGAATGTTGTATTGTTAACTGATTACGATATTGTGAAATTAACTTACCATTATTCGCCCCCAAATGCCCTGGTATGGACGAGAGTGGGTAGAGTCCACTCTCCCTCTCGAAATGCTCTCACATGGCCTCGCGTATATAGCCTCTGCCAGGGAAGTCCTACTCACTACCTTCTCGAACCACGGGTGTTGTTTACGAAAATGAGAGGACGGAAAGCGAATGTCCGGCGCTCTAACCGGATTCCAAACCAATGGTGCACATGGGCTCCAGTATCCTGTGGGAACAAATGGCGTATGAACCAATCGTTGGTCACCGGCTTCCACAGGACTGTGTCTCCTCACGATGCTCCACTGCCTTGTGGATCAGACCTTCGGGTCGAAGGCTCAGTGAGTGGCCCTCTAAGAAAACCACCTGCTTCGGTTTGGGCACCCGGGCAGTATCACAGCCCTCACACATGTCGAATGAGATTTGTGTGGCGCATATATAATTGGTGCCCTCTTGAACCAATATTTATGTGTTCAAATAAATAAAATAAAATAAATACCATTATTTAGTTGATACTGACTTTAAAATCAATATTTTGTGGAACTTTGATGTGAAACTCACTGAAGAACAATATTTCCCCCTTAAGTGGTATTTTACATGACTCAATATGAACTATGTATATGGATACAATGGCAGTTTAATGATAATCTTATTAAGTAGTATTATCTTGATTAATCTACAGAAAAATATTCACCCCTTAGAATTTCATTATTAAAATTTATTTTGCTCAAATATTACCATTAGTATTACCCACATATATTCGTTTATTATTATCATCATTTATATCTCACGTCCGGGATCGTGGATGCGTACTATTGAAGAGTCCCAAACTAGAATGAAACGACCGTTCAATTCTTCTAAGTTTTCAATAGTAGTCTAGCATAGATTAACTCATAGTTTCAACTATGAAAATGCTACAATCTTCAAAATGTTCCCATTCTAATATTTTTTTTTATAAACATATGAAGAATTTGGTTATTACTCACCTTAACCTATCATTTTCATTTTACCAACACCATTTATTACACAGTCTTTGACGAAGTATTGAATCTGATTTGTAATTACATTATATCTCACTCATCCTACATTAACTGTTTATTTTGATTAACAATCTCATAAGTTTAAATGACCTATGAACTAAATCGACTTAAAATTACAAACCAGTCATTTGAACATGAACAGGTTACTGTGATTTTAAAAGATGTAGTTACTGTAAACTTGGCCACTTAATTTAGTAAACTTAATTTTGATGAAGTTTTATTCTCCGAACTGGATGATTTGATCATGAAGCTTTCATCGTTCTTCTAAATGACATCATCAGCACAAACTTGATCGTTTTTTGCCTAACGGAGGGTTGTGGAGATTATTAAATTATCAGGGATTACACCATGTGATTATCTTAAACAACCATTGAGAATCGGAATGGACTGAAAAGCTATTTGTTTCTAATATGGGACTCTTTAACAATGTTCGTCTATGATCCCACCGAGACATTTAGCTTCTAGTCTAATAAACATGTACAAACATGATATGTTCAGTGTGTGAAGTTAGTTGGTTAGTTAGGGAATATTCACAACTTACCATTATGAAATCGATAATCATCTTCTGGACATGGTTTTGTAAATGTTAATCTATCCATTAAATTGTTATTTGCATATATATCTGTAACATTTATGTATAAACAAAATGTAAATCATTACTACATTGTATACTTTGAGATATATATACATAACTATGTATAATTATTATTCACAATTTAAAAGTACCATAACTATGTGACATAAGAAAATTATCCCCCAAATATATTCAGAGAGAGGTTTTGTGGATATTATAGTAATTTAATAGTTGAGATCATGAGCTGTTTCAACCCAGTATGGGACTCCTCACCGGTGCGTACCCACGATCCCTCCTCGCGAGATTCGAACCCAAGACCTATCGGTCTCGTGCGCGAACGCTTAACTTCATGACCACTAAGCCGGCTGACATCCAACGTTGTTAATGTATAACATCAACTAATCTAGCTTCAATTGACTCATGAATTCAACTATTAAATTACTATACTGAATTAAAAGATGATTTTCAGTTTTGGTTTCAACATAGTTGATTTCACAAGTCTGAGTCTCTTATATTTATGTAAAACTATAGTGTGAAGCTCATTAGTATATCATTATTCTATTAGGGTGTCGTGGAGGTTTGATTCTCAAAATAGACTTCTTCGGTGTTTGTATTTTTACATGATTGTTCAGCTGATGTTAATCGATTACAGAAATAATCGTGAGATTATTTGATATACTTTTGTTATTTAGAAAGACTAGAGGTAATCTAATCACAATCTTTAGACTGATATATCATCGTTTGGTTTGTCTTTCAGAATAGTGCATTTATGAGGAAATTCCAAAAATGTTCTCAGGCTAATAATTGACTTTTCCATTTTATCAATAACCCGTGAAATTCTCTATCTTATGACATGACTGAACCTTAATAAGTTGTTCATCTATTTCAACTTTACTGTTTCTTAGTTTCTAATATTCAGTTGAACTACTGTAGTGAAGGAGAACACAGGTGAGGACAGCCGAATCATGTTTAGTAGAACATTACAGAGTTACTTGGTAAAATAGAAAACCCATACTATAATACCAAATTTGCAAAATGTTCAATAGTTGTTTCGGACTTTATTGTTCTTGCATTTCTATACTAATTGCTTTTTATTCCCGTTCTTCCTTTCTTGATTTTCCCAATCTTCTTCTGCCAGACATTACATTCCTGACTCGCATTATATACTACTTATGTCAATATAAATAGCACGCACCACAGTATCAGTGATTTAAGAATAATACTTATAATCACTTCCTTTAATATTATATATTTCATTCAGTAAAATAAACAATTATCAATATAAGTTTACGATTCACTTGGTGTTGTTTTACTTGTATCTTCCCATTGTTATTTAGGACTGCAATTGATCAGTCTCATGTTGACATATGCGCATTCTGTGCGGATTGCCTCGATCATATTATTGGCTGCCAACTTGAGTATCTGAGCTACCTGTTCCTGTTTTTTGTTTGTTTTAACACAGCACTATGTTTGTTAATCAGGTTCTCTATTCAGATGACCTAATGAGAAGTTTACAACTTTTCACTGTACAAGTAACAAAAATGCCCAGAGATATTGTTATAGTTAGTTATATAATATACCCTTGTGGGCCAGGGTAATTTTACATTGATTTTCAGGAGATTCAAACACTGTCCACACTTTTACGTGACAACCCGAACATTACAGCTCAATCCCGTTTAACAGGAGAGTCAGACACCGCTCAGGCTTAAAATTTGTAGCCCAAATGGTACTGCTCAATCCTGTTTCCAGGTGAACTAGACACCATATAGACTTTAACGCCACAATTTGAATAGTACAGTTCGATCCTGTAGCGCAACTACACAAGTATGAAGCACCCTGGCGGACCATTCGCACCATTCATATACACATTCACATCACATGTATAATTATTCCGATCAATGATCGCGTGAATTAATTATGCACAGCACGACTAGGCCAACATTGATCTAATCCGCTTACATGACAGTTAAACTCATTAATGTTAACAATAATAATATGCCATTCAATCGGTAATAGCGACAGTGTGGTCTATTGTTTAAGTTTTTGGTCTAGCATTCAGAGATATTATGGTTGCTGATAATATATATCGAAAAGAATGTACATTATTTAGATGTCGATTCCTGAAACGCTAACTTCTAACTGATGACCACTTAATATTTATTGTCAGGATCGACCAATAAGGGAGATACTTACTGACATACCTTGTGCTGAGAATTCTATATTGTACCAAGAATATAATATTGAATATGGCTAATAATAATAATAATAATACTAATAATACTAATATAAACATATAATACAACATTTTATAATATAAAACAATCACTAAGCATAATACTTACAACCACCAATTGTCTGATAAACAAATGTAGATAAGATTGTACAATATAATAATATTGATGCTTGTAATATACTACTAATTAAATTCCTTTTTAATTCAAACATTTACAAGCTCTACTTTTATATCTCACAAACAATTAATGATGATAATAATAATAATGGTAATAATAGAATAATATAACTATGTGTATAATGTTCCAAATACAATGTTGGGTATTTACAATGAATACAATTGTAATGTCTACTGTAAATTGATAGATAGGTTTTTCTTTTTAATGCTTCCACTTTATTGTAATTCATATGTATATATAGGTATCTATAATATTAACAATGATTGGGTAAACCTATTTACACCAATTATATATATGATATAATAGGTGACAGAATCAACTACAGATTTTCAGCAATGTTGTGTACATAAACATGTGGCGATATATATATATATATATATATATATATATATATATATATATATATATATGTATATATATATATATATATATTTGTTCACACCGTTGGATGCCGGCTCAGTGGTCTAGGGGTTAAGCGCTCGTGCACGTAACTGATAGATCGTGAGCTCGGATCTCACGAGGTGGGATCATGGATGCGCACTACTGAGGAGTCCTACAACAGGTTTTCTATGGTGGTCTAGCTTCAACGGACTTATGATCTCAACTATTGAAATATATATTTGTGTTAGTATTCCGGCTAGAACATTAAACATCATTTATTTTTAAGAAACTTTATGTTGTAATCATTTGCTGATTTCACTTTTTAGAATCTTTAAATAATGAAGGTGTTAGTTTAAATAAACAATCAATTCTCTCATAAATATGTTAAATTTTTTAAATGGAATTTAATTAAACATCTTTAAAATTGACTAAATACTAATCAGCAGTATACAAAAGTTAAATATTTAGAATTACTAGTAGTATAGTGAACGAGAACACAAGTAGGAACAAAAAAATTACAGAATTTCACGGTTGAAATCATGAGTCATTTGAAGCTAGATCACCATGGAAAACCTGGCAGCACTGGACGGCCGTTTCGTCCTAGTATGGGACTCTTCAGAAGTGCGCATCATCTGCTCACTAGTGACTGATTTCAAGAGATACTCCTGGAGTTCTAGTGAGAAGCCGTTACCAGTGGAGTTCAACAAGTTCTGTTGTGAAATATAAACTCACTGAAGACAATGGTATACGGTGGCGCAACTTCGTGGATTGGTTGAGGTTAGACATTAACACCGTTAGATGCCGGCCGGCTCAGTGGTCAGTTGGTTAAGCGCCTGGCGCGAGACTGATGGGTCCTGGGTTTGAATCTCGCGGGGTGCGGGATCGTGGATGCGCACTACCGAGGAGTCCCATACTAGGACGAAACGGCCGTTCAGTGCTTCCAGGTTTTCCATGGTGGTCTACCTTCAATTGACTCATGATTTTTATTTGCCAAAGAATATGAATATTATCATATTTATAGAATATTATTGTTTTTATGTAATTTTCTGATTATATATATTTTACTCAGTAATATTATGGTGTATGCTACTGATTTCGACAGACATAAGTAGTCTGTATCGAGAACGAAATATCTAATAACAGAAGGGTAAGAACATTGAAGATAAGAGAATGAGAACAGTGAAAAATGCCTGTGGAAATAAAGGAACAGTGAAGTCTGAGACAATTGATGGGTATTTTGCAAATTAAGTATTTACTATATGGTTCTCAAATTTTACTGATATTCTGTAATTTTGTGTTTAAATTATATTCGATTGTCCCTAATTGTGTTCATGCTCACTACAATTTCAACTAGAAATATGATTAAAAAAGAGGAAGTTTATTTAAAGGGAAAATTAATGCTTTAAATATATCACTAAGAAAAGCTATTCAAAGAAGTTTTCCACAAAATGGTTACTAGAATACATTCAATTATCTCCACTTGTGTTCTCGTTCACTACAATATTACTTTTGGTCACTTCATATTTATATTTATAATCCATTTCAGTCCTACAGGAGGTCGGTCGCGGCCCAGATAGCTCAGTGGTAACGTCTTTGACTGTGAAGCTGAGTGACACGGGAGCACCACTTTCCTCAAGATTACAGGTACACCTTGCTGACGAGTACCAAGAGCACGAAACCCGGGTCCAGGGTTTCCTGTCGACCACCTCCAACCACCATCTAATCTCAATACATAGTGCCCGCAGTGTCGAGTCACCTAGACTGGTGGCCACATTGCAACATGATCGATAGCATTCGATCTGCACTAATAAGGACTAGACAAGCATGAGATTGATCACCACCCAGTGATCAATCAATTGTAACTATATCAAATACACTATTTACATACTGACTATATTACCCGTAAATCTCTCAGTATCTATCTAAACGATCTTAATAATTAAAACTCAGCTTGTTAAATAAGTTGATCTTTAAATAATTATTTACATCAAAATAGTGACAGGCTTAAAAAAGAACTTTAATTCGAATAAGTGACATGTATACTTCAACAACCATTCATATTCAACTCTTACATGGTATCAGTGATTCGGTGATACAAATGTAAAACTCAATTATGAACCTTAACCATGGAATATCACAACCTCATCTGTTTTGTAGATCCTGTCATTCATGTACAGTATTTTGAGAATTGCTAAACACTAGAATGATTACAGAACACTCTAAATTCTCATACGTCAATATAGTGGATAAAGTCATTGAGCATAGAAATTCGCTTTCATAAACAATAGTCATCTATCCTCTTGCAAATTCCAGTTAAAAACAATGAAACATTGATCTATATCACAATCAAATGGTCATATTGAAAGTAATGTACTTCTGTATCCTCAAAATCAAAATGATCAACTTTGATGGTTACCTATTATATCATACGTTTTTGAGATATGAGCACCCATTAATATTTACCTCTATAGAATTGATTGTTTATGATTGATCTATAGTGTGAGGAAAGATTAATTAAAATGGGATAAAATATTATAAATTGAGAATAACTGAATAAATCTCAAGTATACCAATACTACATTTACTAAATGAAAGATAAAAATACAAATTGTTAGTTTCAGTTGATAGTTAATAATTAGATGAATTTCCTTTACTACTCACTGTCTTCTCTCGGTGGGGGTGTAGTTTTTGAAATTGAGAGGGCGAAAAGCGAATGTTTGGCGCTTTAACCTGGCTGGTGGACACGGAGGGTCGACCTGGAGGAGTTGTAAAACTCTGATCTCAAACCACTGGTGCACATCGGCTCCAGTATCTTGAAGGATAAAATGGCGTATTAACCAACTATTGGTCACTGGTTACCATAGAACTGCATCTCCTAAAGTTTCTCCACTGCGTTGTGGATTAGACCTTCAGGTCAAAGGCTCTGAACGTGGCCCCTTACGAAAACCACCCGCTTTGGTTTGGGCACCCGAGCAGTATCCTAGCCCTCATATAAATCAATGAATACTGCTACTGACCTGATTGTTATTGTGTGGTGCATATGTATTCGGTGAACCCTTGTATCAATGTTTATGTGTTAAAATAATAGTTTATTTATAACATTTCTGATCAACTGAACACTAGTGTCACAGAAATAAAATTTAATCGCATGTTATTTGGATTGTATTAATGGCGAACTAAGTTGATTTATTTTCCGTAAGCCCACATTTTAAATTCACTTGGTGTTGTTTTACTTGTATCTTCCCATTGTTGTTTAGGACTGCAATTGATCAGTCTCATGTTGGCCTATGTGCATCCTGTGCGGATTGCCTGGATATAGCATTAAGTCACAAGCTTTTTAAACTTAGATTATTCTAAATAATTTATTATTTTCAGTGGTTGAGATCATGAATCGATTGAAGCTAGACCACCATGGAAAGCCTAGAAGCACTGGATGGCCGTTTTGCCCTATTGTGGGATTCCTTAGCAGTGCGCACCCACGATCCCGTCTCACGAATTTCGAACCCAGAACCTATCAGTTTCGCGCGCGAGCAACTAACCACTAGAACACTGAGCCGGCTGCCATCCAACGGTGTTAATGTCTAACTTCAAGTAATCCACGAAATTGGACGACACATCCACCATTGTCTTCAGTCAGTTACTATCTCACAGCAGACCTGGTCTAGCTTCAATTGACTCATGATCTCAATCATTTAAATTATTACAATATCCACAAAAACCCTTCTGATACGGATTTATTATTTATTTGATATTTTACAAGATTAGTTCATTCATATTTATCAAACGTGATACAAAAGAAACTAAGTTTATGACGTAAAGGTATCTCAATGTATGTTTGTGTGTGTTTGTGCAGAAAACAATGATTTATATTTTTCTAAGAAAATGGGATCCAGTAATGTAGATGATTAATATCGACCAGGTAACCATCTTTCAACGTCATTGATCAGTGATAGTTTCACATTCAACATTGTCGAACTCCAATGATTACGATTTGTGTCATTACAAATCGAACAATTTACCTATGAAAATTGATCACCAGTGAATAATTACTATTACTTAGTCACTTGCTTACACTTGTTAATCCTCACGGAGGAGCATAGACCGCCTACTAACACTCTCAGCCCAACTCATTCTTGGGAAATCCTTTCCAGTTCTTTCCAGTTGCTATTTATTCTTTTCATATCTGCTTTCAATTCCCGACCTAGTGCGTTCTTCGGCGTTCCTCTTTTCCTTTTCCCTTCAGGATTTCAAGTTAGAGTTTGCCTCGTGATACAGTTTGATGATTTCCATAATGCATCTCTTATCCACTTCCAAGGTCTTTTCCTAATTTTCTCTTCACTTGAAAGTTGGTTTGTTCTCTCCCACAATAGGCTATTGCTAATGGTACCCGGCTAACGGATATTGAGTAGACAATATTGCATAGACAATCGTTTGTAAATACTTATACCTTCTTGATGATGGTTGAAGTAACTCTCCATGTTTCCGCTTCATAAAATAGGTCTGTCTTTACATTCGTATTGAAGATTCTGACTTTGATATTGATTGACAGTTTTAAGTTCTATATGTTCTTCCATTATAGGAATGCTTCCGTCACTTTGTTAATCTCAGCCTTTACATCTGCATCAGATCATCCTTGTTCATTGATGATGCTTC